CCCACACCCACCCACACCCACACCCCACACCCACACCCTAAAAAGAGATTAAGACTAATGTTTTCATTTGAAATTTGTTGTATTAATGTTGAGCGATCTCATATGTGCGGTTGAAATCAAAACTTATCGAATGATATGTTTAATCGAAAACATCAGTCAAAACGATTGAACTTGTTATAACCTCTTCCTGATCACGGGGCTGGTTGCAGTTACTCCATATGATATTAGTTGTAATCGTTTCATGTAATAACGGAAAAGTTATATAAAACTTGATTAATGAATCGAAAGAAATCTATAATATAATTATCTAATATTAAAAATAGATTCATACACACACTACAGTTCGTTCATTTTATCGTAATCAACGATTTTCAAATGATGTTTATCGATATATTGAACATGGTCTTCATTTGTCAATAACTGGTTTTACATTATCAATATGGATGATAAGAAATAGTGCAACAAAAGATGGAGGAGAAAATTTATCGAAAAAAAACAGTATGTCATCAAGAGAACTCTTTAATAAATATCCATCATTGTTTCATTTATTTTATGAACAATTACAACAAACAACAAGGTTTCTTATTTGATTTTTAATATTAATAAATAAAGTATATAATTATATATATATATATATTTGTTAAGTACTCGTCCATTAATTGAATTATTATCATCATCATGTTTATTTGCTATACTTTTAATTTTTCGTCGTCTTTATCCAAGTCCACTTAAGGGGGGTTCCCCTCAGAAAATTCAATTTTTCGAACATGAGTCGAAATTGAAGTTTAATCATAGGAATATACACCGAAGTCTCCTCTTTCAGAATATCTATAGTTTATCGAAAAATGAATTGATTTTGACGAACTTATTATCTAAAACTTCGCTCCTGCTATCTTATTTTTTGAGAAATTTTCACGGCTTTTTTCAAGCTTGTTCGACTTTTTAGGTTGCTTTCTCTTTGCATCAGCATTTCGTAAAGTTTTTTTTTTGTATACTAATCACTAAGAGACTATCAACACGTAATATTAAGATCACACATTTATAGCCCGTCTTGAACATTGATATATAAATCAGGTGATTTTCGAAAAAATCGACTTCTAATACTTATTTTCCGTTTTTCTCAAAATCAGTTTTTTTTCATGCAGTTTACGCAGACAGGTTTTTCTCCATAACAATTCGACATGAAAGT